CACCCCACCCCAGCCCACCCCACCCCACTTCACCACCCCACCCACTCACCCCACCCCACCCCACCCTCCCCACTCCACCACCCCACTCCACTCCACCCCACCCCACCCACTCACCCCACCCCACCCACCTGCACCCCACCCCACCCACTCCACCCCACCCCACCCCACCCACCACTCCCACCCCACCCACCCACCCCACCCCACCCCATCCCTCCTCCCCACCCACCCACCCCACCCACCACCCCACCCCACCCACCCACCCCACCCCACTCCACCACCCCACCCACCCACCACCCTCCCCCCACCCACCCACCCACCACTCCACCCCCACCACCCACCCACTCCAATTCTTTCACTCCCACCCTCCCCACCACCCACTCCACTCATCCCACCTCTCCCACTCACCCCACCCACCACACCACCCCACCCACTCACCCCCACCCCACACCCACCACCCCACCACCACCCCACCCCACCCCCACCTCACCCACGCCACTCACCCCACCCCTTCCCTTACTCACCCCACCCCACCCACCCACCCCACCCACCACCTCACCCCACTCCACTCACCTCCCCACCACCCCACCCACCCACCCCACCCCACTCCACCCACCCACCCACCACCCCACCCACCACCCCACCCACCCACCCCACCCACCACCCCACCCCACCCACTCACCCCACCTATTCCACTCCACCCCACCCAGCCCTGCTCACCCCACCCCACCCACTCACCCCACCACCATCTCACCCCACTCACCCCACTCCACCACCCCACTCTATTCCACTCAATCCCACCCACCTGACTCACCCCCACCCCCACTCCACTCACCCCACCCACTCACCCTCTCTCCACCCCACTCACCCCACTCCACTCACCCTACACCACTCACCCCACACCACTCACCCCACTCACCCAGGTTATATGCTGGTGAGAAGGGTGACACCGTCTTAACACCGCAACAGAACCCCTTGCTGTCATTGGAGACTTGTTAGTAGACGTGGAGGTACAGTAGCGGGTGACCCTTCTGTTTAGGGACGAGAGCTTGTGTTTATCTGTGTCCCTTCCTTCCTACGTGTCTCTTCTCTACCTATTCTCTTTTATCTTAATCTCTTTCATTTTTATCTTCTCATTCTAGTCTTATATGTTTTCGTTATGTCTATATTTTTCCTTTTTTTTCATTTGTTGCAAGAGTCGTTTTTATGTTGTGGTCAAATCTGTTAATGTTGGGATTTTATGTTGATGATAATGATGATGATGATGATGATGATGATGATGATGATGATGTTGATGATGATGATGATGATGATGATGATGATGATGATGATGATGATGATGATGATGATGATATAGTGTGTTTGTCACCCTCCAATAAACACTCTAATGTAGCTTGTGTTGTGGAGACTTGTAAAATAGTAGTTATATTTTACCACTGATACGCTTTTAACGCTTACTTCTGCTACTGCTACTCTTCCTGCTCCCGCCCCCCCGTCTTCCTCCTCCTTAAGCCCTCCCCCTTCTTCCTACTTCCCTCTTCCTGCTATCCCACTCTTCTAATCTTCCCCCCTCTTCCACCACCACCACCACCACCACCACTTGACGGAACAGCTAGGTAGGGGTTTACCAGGTCGTTGGCATCAGTGGCGACGACCTGTTGTAAAGGTCGACGCCCCCGCCCCCTGCCCCTCCTGTGGTGTACACTTGTGATATATTAGTGCTCTATTGATGCTAGAGGCTGTGTGGGTGTGTGATCCTCTGGCCTGGTATGGTGGAGGTGGGGTTACTGGCCCTTGATCATGTGATATCTCTCTCTTCTATATATATATATATATATATATATATATATATATATATATATATATATATATATATATATATATATATATATATATATTAAATCACCTGTTGTATTTTGTATGCAACTTCACCTTTGTCTTATTCCTGGATAATAATTTATCTCTTTTGGTTTTTGTATTTATTTTTATTCTTTTATTTTTTACTTTTGTTTACTTTTTGTTTACTCTGCATCACCTAACCTAACCTAACCTAACCTTACCTCACCTCACCTGAAGTACGGTAGGGAATGGTGTTTAATATCTTCCTACCCGTCCGTCCGTCTCTTATCTTCCTCTCTCTCTCTCTAGAACATAAAAGAAACATCATTTTATCCCTCGGACTTATAACACGGAGCAAAACTCATGTATATATATATTCCTTTGATCAAAGTTCACAATATGCTTCTGGACTCTCGGTGAAAAAAGGCGTCTTTTAATCTTTTTTATATGATTGTTATTTCTCCTTTCTGTCGTCTGTCTGGTATTTTCTGTCTCTTTTGTTGTATTTCTGTCTCTTCTATGGTATTTCTGTCGTTTCTCTGGTATTTTAGTTTCAGATTCTCGCCACAAAGGTTCTTCGTTTTCTTCAGTGGTAAGAGACCTGACCTTACGTGTGGGTTATGAAGGAGGGGGAGAAGTGGGAGGGTTTTATGGAGGGGGGAGGTAGGTCATGGAGGGGAGGAGGAGGAGGGTCATGGGGAAGGGGAGGATGGAGGGGAGGAGGAGGGTCATGGAGGGGGAGGAGGAGGGGTCATGGAGGGGAGGAGGAGGAGGGTCAGCGGAGGGGAGGAGGAGGAGGGTCATGGAGGGGAAGGTTGGAAGGGATGTAGGGAGAGAAGAAGAAGAGAAAAAGAAGGACGGGGAGAGGATAGTGACAGAGAGGGAGATGAGAGGGGTAGGGAAGGAGGAGAAGGAAAGCAGAAGGGAAGGAAGGCCATGGAGGTGGAAGATGAAGGCAGACGGAGACGGGGAGACTCGAGGAAGTGGAAAATTGATAAAAGGGAGGAAGGAGAGGGCTGGGAGGAGGAGGAGGAGGTGGTGGTGGGGCGGGTAATGGGAGGTTCATGAGAGAGAGAGAGAGAGAGAGAGAGAGAGAGAGAGAGAGAGAGAGAGAGAGCCACCACCATTACTTCCACCACCACCATTACTACTACCACCATTACCACCATCACCATTACCACCATCACCAACACACTGACGCGGGAACACTCGAATAAGTTAAATGTTTGGCGTCATATCCGTAGACTTGTGTTGCGTCGTACCGTAGCCGTTGTGTCGTCTCATTGATATAACGTCGTTGTTTTTGTTGTTAATATAATATGACAGTGTTTTTGTTAGTGGTTTATTAGGTATTATAGGGTATTATTTTGTTTGTGTGTTTGTTTAGTAGATAAAACGGTATTTTTTTTATTTATTTGTTAGGGTATGACTTTTTTTTTAATATTTTTTACACACTTTTTTTTTTAGTTCAGTGTTAGATAATTATATACCATCCTTACGTTAATTCAAAATACAGTATATGAGAGAGAGAGAGAGAGAGAGAGAGAGAGAGAGAGAGAGAGAGGGGGGGCTATTTCTACAGAGTCAACACGCGGTAATGTAGGTGTACTGTATGTTGTGTTGAGTGGCGGCCCATACACTGATCAATATTCTCTGATGACCCCTCGTGTTGGCTGGCTGGGGAGGGGGAGGAAATGCACTGCTTACCCCCCTTCCCTCTTATCCCCCACTCACCCCTTCCCTCTCATCCCCCACTCCACCCCACTTCACACTTTAATAATCCAGGCTCAGTTGCAGGTGAATTTTAACATGCATCTTGTTTTTATCTTTTACTGCAGTTTGATTTTTATTTATTTTATTTCCTGTCTCAAGTACACAGTTGAATCCTTTGTAAGAGTTCAAGTGCAGTGGAATGTTATGGTATCGGGTGTTTTTCTGTCAGGTGTCGTGAAGGTCGAGTGGTTACAATGCCTCGATTTCTTTCCTAATGGTCGTTGGTTCAATTCCGGGGTACCTAACGTTGCAGTTGAGGAAGTGAAGATGGTCGAGTGCAGTGCCGGCAGTTGGTGTTTGTTGATATACTGTATTATGACTCAACCTTTATACCGGCTCAGGTGTTGTGTGTACTGTCTGTCTGTCTGTCTGTCTGTCTGTCTGGTGCCTCATTTGACTCTTAATTAAGGAATGAATATAGACCAAGTTTGTGTGTTTTGGGATAAGATAGATAGAAAGACAAATAGATAGATAGATAGATAGATAGATGGATAGATAAATTTTTTCATTAGTTTCTATGTAAGTTTGGTGTCGTGTTTTGCAGCGTCGGGGCCAATGGCGGATTTTATTTGATTGGAATCGCGTATTTTTTTTTTTTTAGATATTCATTAACACACACACACACACACACAGAACAGTGATTTACGTGGGGGATAGGATAGATGGATGTGTGGGGGAGGTGGATGATGGATGAAAGAGAGAGAGCGAGAGAGAAAACGGGAGTAGAATGAATGGAGATGATGGAATAGGAAGAGGTTGATGAGTGGAGGAGGAGGAGGAGGAGGAGGGGCGGATTTGGAGGGAAGAAGAGGAAGAAATGAGTGAGAGGGAAAGAGAGGAAGACAAGAAGAAATGAGTGGGAGAGGAGGAATGGAAGGAGAGTGGAAGAGGAAGGAGGAGGAAGAAGAAAGGAACAGGGAGGAGGAGGAAGAAGGGGGAAAGAGGGGAGAGGAAGAAAGTAGAGAATAACACAGCACAGTATAAGAAAGGGAGGCGAGGGGTGAGGTGAGGTGAAGGGAGGGGGAGGGGTGAGGTGGTCAGGTCCGACCCAGAGGGGATAGCCCAGAAAACCTATCTGGCCAGGGATAGATTGGATTTGTGTCCGGCTCCTGCTCTGGTGACCATCAGTGCTTCACTACCTCGCCATGGCCGGGATTGATTACTGGTGGCCGGATAGATCGTGTGGCCGGATAGATCGTGTGGCCGGATAGATCATTTGGTCGGGTAGTTGACCCAACGGAGTAGATGTTTGATAAGAGTTAATTTTGTGACGAAGTAGATGGCGTTGCTGGGTAGATAATTTAACTTAATTTCTTTCTTTCTTTCCAACAGCTTATAAACATGTGGTCGAGGTACAGGTGTTAACATGGGCGTCTCTTGTGTCCTTACAGAGAATGTTGGTGATCGAGGCCGTGCTGGCGAACCCTCTCCTGACCGCGCCTCCCTCAAACGTCTACCCGACCAGGTACAGTAACCGCCCCTCCTCCTCCCCGTTGTACTCCTCTTTATGTGTCATGCTATAATATTCCTGTGTCTCCCAGTTTCCTATGTGTCCCCAAGGATCTCTATGTATCCTCTATCATGTGTTAGTTTTGTGTCTGACGGCTAGAGGTCTAAGTCATGGGTTGGAGTCAGTGTAATGTGATTCTCTTGTGTAATTTGTTATTTATTTTTTCACTTCTCATTTGTTGGGGGTCTTCTGGCAGGCTGAGGGTCGAACGGGTATAGGCGGGGATTCTGCCGACTCTACTCTCAGCGGTAGCGACGGGCGTGGTGGGCGGCGGCGTGTGGGCGGCGAGGAGAGGGACAAGTCTCACAAGAGGAAGTCCAACTTGAACCGCTCCACTACTAGCGAGGAGCCCGCCGCTGACCTCTTCCCTCCCACACACCCCAGTGACAGCAACGGTGAGTACCAACACCTCCACACACTTCTTAAGGCTGGTGTACAGCTCTGGCGACACAACCAGAAGATACTTTTATCAAGGTTCATCACAGCCTCAACACCTGTAATTAAGCTATAATCAACCATTTAATCTCACGAATATTAAAAAAACTCACACCAGTAAATTATCATGCACACAATATTATTTACTCGGGAAAGTTAGTAAGGAATATACAGCAGAGATCTCAGCCCGACAACTCTTGAGGTTTTCACTAAATTGTTATGATTTTCGCCATAGAACTGAACAAAATCGTGGATGGGTTACGACAATTCACGTGCTTGGAACTGTTCCCTAATTTCAGTGTCTTACCTTAAATATTTACCTTAGTTGGTAATGTGAGAACCAATACCTGGCTTATGTTAGCGACACCCAGGTAATGATGGCGGGATATATACTGTAGATACAGTTTCTCTCTGATATACTCTCTATAGTGTGAACTTTAATACGTTGTGTCTCAGTTATGGTAAAATTTATGTACGAATCTTGGGGACTGTCGGTGCTGTTCTCTAAGGTATCGCCGATATTGGGCTGTCAGCAGAGCAGTGCATCAGGTATATTAAATGTCAGATAGGTATCGTGGCGGTGGTGGTATTCACAGTATGCGCGAGCCTCTGGTGTTTAACATTTACAGTCCATAGCCGTCGTAAATGTCAGGCGTTTATGGAATCTCTGCATCCTCATGGCCACGATACGGTTGGACAGCCATGGAAGAGAGAGAGAGAGAGCCATGGAAGAGAGAGAGAGAGAGAGAGAGAGAGAGAGAGAGAGAGAGAGAGAGAGAGAGAGAGAGAGTATTTTGGGGATTAATGTTTCGTTCTCTCACCTGTATTATTGTGTTCTGTGGAGCGCGAGAGTTAATTTTTCCTTGTCACCTGTTATTTGTTAGCTTAGCGCACGGGAAGAGAGAGAGAGAGAGACGACCTCGTAATGTGCCTGGATGGAGGGAGACAGGCTGGAGCGGCAGTTGTTCACATCTGTGAGCATCGTGTTGAGAGTAATGCTCTGACACTAACTACAACTGGCACTGAATAGCCCTTGCAGCAGTGTCACAAGTAGCAGCAGTAGGTGAAGCAACATTTATGGTGCAGCAGAAGCAGCTGCGTGAGGTGTTGTAATATCAGTGAGAGTATCAGGAAACAACGCCTGATAACCCCCCCCCCCACACGGTGTAGGAGGTCAGGGGGGGAAACCTGTCACCTCCAGAAACAGAAGGTCCCACGGGGTCCTCCTATAAACCTCAGCCTCCTTGTCTGTAGCGGACACCTTCAGCTGCCTCAGTTGTTTGTTACACCCCGACATTATTCTTCCTAAGTCAACCTAACGATGCTTTATGTTCTGCTCCTGTCAGATACGTTTATGTAACACTGAAGCAGGTGTCTCGAGGTTTATTATGTATCGTCTTGAGGTGAGATATTGGTCGTGTGGTGTAGAAAAAAGTTGCCCACGAACGCTGGACAGTTTTTACCCTAGGAGAGATAAACAGTGTAGTATTATCTGTCGTGGAGGACCGACCGTCTGTTGGCTCATCGTCTGGGAGCCTCGCTATGACACCCTGAGAGGACGTGTATGAGAGAGGGGGGTGTATGTTCATCCATCATCTCCCAGCACTCTCTATAGCTCTGTGTGAGGTAGAGTTGCAAGGGGAAGAGGAAAAGGAGAGCGCTGTGACTGCCCTTCCTTCCTTCCTTCCTTCCTTCCTTCCTTCCTTCCTTCCTTCCAGCCTTCAGAACTTTCGTGTGTGAAGGTCGAGATGGATAGATGAGGCAGGAGGGAAGGAAGATGGTGTCTTTTCCCTTTATTCCATAGTCTTTGGGTAAGCTAGGGGAGGGGTGAGGGGGGGAGGTGAGGGGTAGGTCAGGGAGGGGAGGAAAATATTGACTCCCTCCACCTCTTGTAAACATATATCCAGCGTCGGGGTGGTTGAGTTGATCTGACGTGCTGAAGGAGGCTGAGGGAGAGGGACGGGAGGAGAGAGGTGTGAGGGAGTGGAAGACGTGAGGAGAGGTGGGGTGGGAGGAGAGAGGTGAGAAGGAGGGGTGAGGGGAGGAGAGGAGGGTGAGGAGAGGTGAGGTGAGAGGGAGGGGAGGAGAGGTGAGGTGAGAGGGAGGAGAGGTGAGAGGAGAGGGGAACAGTTGCAAGGGACACAGGGGCGGTTGTTTACAGTTGGGATGACTCCCTTTGTTGGGCAGGGATCTCTCGGGGGATCTGGGAGGATTCTCGCCGGGGGTCCCTCAGCTGCTGTCTTTACTGATCCCTCATCTCTCTCTCTCTCTCTATCACACACACACACACACACACACACACACACATACAGCTTCCAACGCTCTCTCTCTCTCTCTCTCTCTCTCTCTCTCTCTCTCTCTCTCCAGTTAATCCCTCGCCTTGCTCAACACTGCCCCTTAAAACGAGAGAAGTGAACCCGTAAAGTCATTTAGATATTAGTAAAGGAGGAATGGGAACTAGTCCTCCTCCTCCTCCTCTCCCTCTTCGCCATCCCTCGCCTCGTTAGGTTAATGTTAGCGTTAAGGTAGGGTAGGTTAACGGTAGATTAAGCTACGTTAGGCTTGGTTAGGTTAGGTTAGCTTAAGTTAGCTTAATATTTGTAGCCAGAATTAGGCTACGATACAGACACATCTGGCAAGTTAGTAACGCTGTACCCATACCGGAACACTCAGCATGTAAACTTTGTGATAAACCTTTAAACCACAACACTTGAACACTATATTATTGAATGTGACACTGTCAAAGATTTCAGGCCACCTGGCTTATTGTATCATGAACTATGTAATTACTACATTGAATCAGGAGTCTTTGAGGACATTCTTATAGTCTATCGTAAATTTGTTAGTCCACACTGATTGGTCATCATATAGAATAAATCTATTGAATATGATCTATGCTATTATCTCCTTTGTGTATGAACCTCTGTCCTGTGTGGCAGTGAACAGTGACAGCACCCTCAGTGTCAAGACCTGACTCAACTACTCAGATTAGGTAAATTGTATCTAAGTTTTGCCAGTAAATTTGTTAAACTTAAAAAATAAACATGGTTAGGTGAGGTGAGCTTAAGGAAGGAGTTTAATCTTTAAGTGTTCCATATGTCAGTGTGGGAGGAACAGGAACTCTCTCCCTCCTCGTCACACTGTTGTTACATCTACCCTGAACCACGGAAGATAAATAAACCCGGAGAGAGAGAGAGTAAAGAGTGAGGAGCAGAGAAAAGAAACAGGGAGAGTGAGAAACAAAGACAGATAGAAGGGAGATAAGAGACAGAGCGAAAGAAAGAGAGAGAGAGAGAGAGAGAGAGAGAGAGAGAGAGAGAGAGAGAGAGAGAGAGAGAGAGAGAGAGAGAGAGAGAGAGAGAGAGCCAAGTATTGATTGAGGTCGGTAGTCATGTTCGTTTATTCTTAATACCTAGAGAATCGTAAACCTCCTCTGCCGGAATGGTGGTGGTGGTGGTGGTGCTTTGTTTACATTTGGGAGTGTTGATTGTAATCATTGAGAGAGAGAGAGAGAGAGAGAGAGAGAGATTGTGTGGTTATTTGGGAAGAGAGAGAGAGAGAGAGAGAGAGAGAGAGAGAGAGAGAGAGAGAGAGAGAGAGAGAGAGAGAGAGAGAGAGAGAGAGAGAGAGAGAGAGAGATTGAAGAAAAATGTGAAGGGAGAGACAAAGAAAAAGTGAGGAAATTCGTAAGGAAAAGTCAAGTTATGGAAAAACAGGGAAAATTTTTGAAACTAGGAAAAAATGGTGAAAAACAGGAAAAAAAGTCCAGAGAGTGAATAAAAAACATAGGGGTAGAGAAATCAACAAAGATAAATATGAGGATAAAACAATAAAACACTCGAGGGTCGAAAAACAAGTGAAGAAAAAACCACTCAACTCGGGGAAGTAAGAAAGGAAAAAAAGCGACAATGCAAAGAAGTAAAAAACAAAAAAAATGCGAAGAAAAAAAAGGGAAGACCCAAGAATGAGGTGACGAGGAAAACACAGATTGAAGAAGAAGAGAAAACACGAATTTTTTGTTTGTAGATTAACCTGAACCAGTTATTAAGTCTGTTGTAATGACGCTCCTGGTTATTAAATGACTTGGTTAATTAGCTATTGCTAGTGGAAGCCGTCCCTGCAGCAACCAGTCTTTGCGGGCGGCCAATTATACTAATGCCACTACACTCATTACCGTCTCTCTCTCTCTCTCTCTCTCTCTCTCTCTCTCTCTCTCTCTCTCTCTCTCTCTCTCTTACTGCTGCTGCGTGTTGTGGTAGAGGAGATGGTGGTGGTGGTGCTGTTTCCGTCCTAGTTGTTGTTGTTGTTGTGTGATCAATAGGATATCCTCAGGAGGCCTCAGGATACCCAAAGGAACACTCCAGGAAGGATATAGCTACCCCAGAAAGCACGACAGGATAACCGAAGAAGCACATCTGGAACCCTCTTAAGATACCCCGGATACCCACCAGGAAACACCCCCGGATACCCACCAAGAAGCACACCGCGATACCTCCTGGAAGCACCCCCGGAAACACCCAGTTCTAGGGTCTCTCAGCTGCGCGTGGCGACACTCGACCATTGATTGGCAATATCAAGGATCCAGGGGGCCTCCGAGCCCTCTTGGAGGAGACCGCAGGATCTCCGGGCGTAGGACTGACCTGGAGGGTGTAGGATGCTGGGGTGAGTGGGAGACTGCTGTGGGAGTCTATCAGGAGATTTCTTTCTTTCTTTCTTTCTTTCTTTCTTTCTTTCTTTCTCCACACTTTTTACCTGCAGTAGAAGATTAATATTTAACTGTATAAGTAATTCAATGTTTATTCCTTTATACCCATATAAAGAAGTGTATCAATTGTGTTTTAAGAAGTGTTAGTGTAAACATTATATTGTGCTTTGTGTTTCCTTTGGTGGTATGGGTCAACATTACCTCATAAATATTCATTACCATCATCAACATTACCATCATCAACATTACCATCATCAACATCACCATCATCAACATCATCATTACCATCATCATCATCATCATCAACATTACCATCATCAACATCACCTCCATTAACATTACCTCCATCAACATCATCATTACCATCATCATCATCATCATCACCA